TAAATATGTAAATATATTATGGCCAAAGATAGTGTAAGTACTAGTCATTTTCTGAAACTAAAATTTGCAAATATTTAGCATCATTTATCAAGGCAATTAATCTCACTGTACATGCCAACTTGCATGTTAGCACTCATGCAGATGCTGACAAGTGCTTGCACAGAAAAGAAGAAAGGCATGACAAAGGTTAGAGACATACAAGGCTTAAATCCAATGCAGTTCCACTTCCACCCTTGACAAATGTACTTTTTTCTTAAAAAAAATTATAGATAAGGGTAACTCACCGGAACTATAACTAAATCAGGACCACAGCCATAATGACACCATAAAAGCTATGTTACTAATTAATTAACTGCACCACCTACTTTCTAGAAAAAAGAGAGATTTTTTTTTTTTTTTAAGGTTAAATACCTATTTTGGTCCTTTATAATCTTTTTTTTTTAATGTAATCTCATTTTTATTTTTTGTCCTAATTTAGTCCTAAACTAATTAATTAGTTTCAATTTAGTCCCAAATTAATTAATTGATTTCAATATGAGACTTTCCGTCCAAATTATTTAAACGGAATTAACTTTTGGGCACGTGGATGCCACGTAGATGCATACATGGATGCCACGTAGATGCATACATGGATGCCACGTAGATGACAATTTTTTTTAAAACACCTGAACCCAGAACGGGTCGTTCCGGTTTCATTTTTTTATATATAAAATATTAATAATTTTATAAAATATATATTATTAATTATATTTTAATTATGTTGTTATATCTAATAAAATAAATATATTAATATTTTTTTATATTTTATTTTATTATGTTTATCTTATTAATTTTTATCATTTTATTCCTCTAATTTTAAATAAGTTGCAAAAAATTATAAAGTGATACTTAAATATTTCTTCAAACAGAAAGAGAAAAAGAAAAAATTATTACTCTATTTATAAGACAATTGTATTTTATAAAAATAAGTAATTTTAAAATTTTTACCATAAAAAAATATTTTTCAAAATTATTATATTTTTTAATAAAATTAATAAAGAATATTGGTTTAATTGCATTTTTTATCCCTCAAGTATTACAATTGTGCAGTTTTGATCCACAAGATTTTAATTGGGTAATTTTAGTCCTTAAAGAATTGCAATTCGCGATTTTGGTCCTTCAATTTTTAATTGAACAATTTTAGTCCCTCTAATATCATAATAGTACGATTTTAGTTTCTCCCATTAAAAATTAATAATAAATATATATCATTTGATACATTAAAAGAAATTATAATATACGGTAATTTAAATAAGCAAACAATTATATAGTTTTAAAACATTATATATATATATATTAAAAATTTAAAATTATTAAATTTTTAATGAGAAAGACTAAAATTGCAAAATTATGATATTTGAGAGATTAAAATTGTGAGACTAAAATTACACAACTAAAATCTTTTAAGGACTGAAATTACTCAATTAAAATCTTAGGGATCAAAATTGCATAATTATAATACTTGAGCGATCAAAAACACAATTAAGCAAAGAATATTTTATTCTCAGTTTTGGAACGGGCCGTTCTGCTGCACTGGTGGTGTGTTACTTTTCGCATCTGGAACGGCCCGTTTCAGTTGCGAAATTAACACACGAAGAGTGCAACCAGAACGGTCCGTTCTGGGTCCAGGTGCTTTAAAAAAAATGTCATCCATGTGGCATTTACGTGGCATTCACGTATGCATCTACGTGACATCCACGTGCCCAAAAGTTAACTCCGTTTAAATAATTTGGACGGAAGTCCCACGTTAAAACCAATTAATTAATTTGAGACTAAATTGAAACCAATTAATTAATTTGGGACCAAATTGAGACTAAAAATAAAAGTAGGACTACATTGAAATAAAAAAAAATTATAAGGGACCAAAATAGAGTTTTAGCTTTTTTTTTATCAATTATTCCTTTTCACTTTTTTTTACATTGATAGATTAAGTGACAAAATCATAGTCGGGAATGGAGACGTGTGAATTTTATTTTATTTTTAAATTAGTTATAATTAAAAAAATCCAGAATATGATAAATGTGGAAACCTTGGTGGGCAATATTGCTCAAACAAATGTCATGCGTTGTATAAAACTTTGATATAAGCTCCAGCCTCCAAGAAACAACAATCAGATGGCAAGACCCAAAGAATATATTTCTCTATCAATATATATGTATATATAGTTAATCATCTATATATTGCTAGTGTAAATTTTTTTACATTAATAATTAATTAGATCTTTTAATTGTGCTATATTATTATAAATATATTTACTTTTAACAATGATATAACATAATTAAAAAATTTAATTAATTGTCAGTGTAAAAAAAACTTTACACTAGTAGTGTATAAGTTATTAACTCATATATATATATATATATATATAA